TCTTCTCATCAAATTTCACTCTCTGGTTATTATTTATGTTTATCAACCGCGTCTGTTTAATACTCACTCATTTATCCACACACCACAAACTGATATTAACGTCTGACTATTGACGAAAAATGACACTATGACGTGATTAGAAACTGAAGTTGATACCCCGTTTTTTCCATTAGTTATTATTTCTCCAAAAATCGATTTGGCAAATTTAGAAATATGAGAATACCATCTCTGAGTTCAAAACAATTATGTTTTTGGTATCTTAGAGAGAATACAAATATGTTCGTTTAATTTTAAAATAGAGTGCCATGAGAACGCAATCTAGAATTGTGTAAGAACAGTGTTTTAGTTTGGTGTTTTTATATTCATAACAGTGACAAATATATCTAAGTGACTATTTTACTTTTCCTCTATTTAAAGTGTAAATAGTATATCAACCACACAAATGATTCATAATATCTTTTGCACCAGATTCAAGAGAAAAAATAGATCAATCGGAGGATCTTTTTGACATTTCTAGGCTAAATATTTGTAACAGAATGAGCATCAATTTGAACTCTTGTCTTAAAGATTAAGTGAAGAGAGGCCCTATCAGGAGATGGAAAGCGGCTGATATTTTAATGATCATGTATACACGCTTAATCTAGTCATCAGCATTCAAATATGTGAGAAACGGGGAATATTATTTAATAACTCTGATACAAATGAAATGAAAAAAAAAAAAAAAAAAAAAATATTGTATTTAAAATGGAATTACCCCTGACGTATTAATTTTAGGTTGTCAATTTGGTTTATAGTATAAATATATTTATATATTGAATTATATATAAAGTTTAATTTAAGCAAATCATGAAAGAAAGATATTATAAGTAAACTCCATCTATTTTCAAGGGTTCATAAATTACAATTATAATATTTAATATAAAAAAAAAAAATGTATTTTAATTTTATATAATGAAATACTCAGTGCCGTTATTTTGCCAAAATCATTATAGAAAAAAATTCGAAACCAATACAAGCTTATTCATAATCATCACAAATATGTCGGTTTTTGACACCGATATGTCAATTACATAATAGGCACTAGTAATAGTGGTACAAAATAAAACTAATTGAGATTAATAATGTTAAAATTATTATTTTTTGTTAAAGTGTCACATTTTCCGATAACAAATTATAACCCTTCCGGTAGTATCGAACCAAATAAAAAACAATTCATATCGTTTAATAGGTAGATTGATGTATTTTTTATTTTTTTTTTTTTTTTTTTTTTTTTTTTTTTTTTCAAAATTTAATTATATATTATAGATCGTTGTACTGCAATATAAACTAAATACAAACAACAAGAAAAAAAAAAAAAAACATATTTTAAAAAAAATTATTATTCTTAACAGTAAAACTATCTACATTGACTATGGATGTACGAATTAGCCCCATATTGTAAACATTTGCTGCATCTTGGTTGGTTCATATTTATTTGCCAAAGTATTTTTACTATAAATAGGTATATAATTGTATTTAATTAACTGTATATTAGTATATTTCATGTAAAATATATATTTTTAAAATACAAACCAAAAATAGAGGAATATATTATGTTTCCATGTATTCTCAACATATTTATTAATCCGCAATATCTAACTAGCGTGACGTCATAAATCTCGCTCTGAGGCTGTTCTACTATAGACGGCATTGCGTCAGCATGGCCGCAAGTTGCTAACCTAATAAAATTAATACTAGAAAAGCCCGCGGGAACTGCCAAATTCAAAGTTATTCGTTTTACAGACTATATACATAAAATATACTGTTATCACTCTTGCTAACTAATTTATATTTATGATATTATATTTATAAATCAAAAAATAAAAACTATTTTGGTATTATTATTATTACAGTTTTTTTTTCTGAATACACTTGTTTTATTTTAAAGTAAAACAGCACATAAAACAGTGGCGTACATAACGTACTTTTAATGGTGCTGTTGCATTAAAATTGTTCGTCGAAAAAATCGACGTTAGCGAGGAAAATGGCGAAAATTTCCGCGCTCAAACAAGCTTTCCTCTAATTATTTTCAATTTTCCTCTGTGCGCGGATGTGTGTGTACTCTGTACGGCTAATTTTCAGTTCATTTACATCCGGAGATGTAGTAAAATGTGTCTGCCCCCGTTATTCTAAATTAAATCATAATGTAAAGCAAAAAAAATGCTGTTAGTTATATATTAAATCTAAAAGAACTAGAAAAGAAAAAAATATTATAAAAATTATAACAACAAATTGATTTCAAAAAATTTGTATTAAAATAACATAAAATTTATTTTTCTGTATTAATTCAACATAAAAAGAGTCAGAGAAAAAAACACGTACAAAATTCATCACAGAACTTCAATACGCTGATGACTATGCTCTAGTTGCAAATACGTTACAGCAATTGCAAAAAATGTTGAACACATATACAAGGTTGTTCACCACATACGACACGGAGTATTGTAGCTAAACGATGAGATTTTTACAAATTGTAAGTTTGGGGTTCGTTGAAGGACTATTAGAGCTACAATTTAAAAATATTTTTACAAGATACAGAGTGTCCCAAATAAGTAAAAAATATCAAAGTTGCGTATTTTTTTAAATGGAACCCTGTATATTATGTACATTTTTATTTTTTTTTTTTTTTTTTTTTTTTTTTTAAATTTGATTAAGGTTTATTATACTTAAACCTTACCGTTTTGAAATATTTTCATATTTTGTGAAATTTGCGTAAAAATTTTAAAGCTTCCTTTCCTCAAAGGGTATCAATGTTTTAATACTAATATTTAATGAAGTTTATTATTGATCAGTTATTGTGTTGCAAATACATAAAAAATAATACTACTTTATACAGAAGTTGTCTAAAAATTTATTTTAAATAATTATAGCTTCTCAAACGCAATAATTTCTTAATTTAAATAGAATGCCTGTATATTAAGAGAATCAGTGCAACAAATTAAAATTGTCCTATCAATTCGTATCTTCAAGTTTTCGTAGAATCATTTTCTTATAATTTAGACTTCATTTATCAAGTTTTTTTTTTTTTTTTTTTTTTTTTTAGATTTTTTTAAAAGCAACAAATGTACAAAATGTAAGACTAGTAATATTATCCGTTTTTAACAAAACGATAATATTAATAGCCCATTTGTAAATGCAAAAAGAAAACCTATTTAAATCTTTATAAAAGAGTAATTACCATTAATTAAATATAAAACCATTATTTCCGCCATAACTACTAATTAATTACTATACTTAATTGTGTTCGTTAATAAATTATTATCAAATAAATGTGGAATTGAGTCAGAAATCAATATAAATGTGGATAAGTTATCAAAATTAAAGTCTCTGTTTGTTATAAATAAGCATTTATTAAAAATGAAATATCAATTTTTTAAGGTGTTCTTTTTATCACACTGTCTATGCCATTACAAAATTCAGTTTTTTTTAGTATATTGGAGCAATTTATTAATTACATCAAACCGCAAAAGTCAGTTTAATGTAGTTTGAAAACTGGAATCAATTATTAATTCGTCCTCTTTTACAAATATTGTAAAACAGTTTTTTTTTATTTTTTAATGAAATAAACGAATCATATATATCGACAATATAGTATCTGTACTCTTTAAAAATTTTGGTACATCTTTAAAATAATGCTAAAATGTCAATAGTACCAGGTATATTGATAAATAAATTCTAAAATTTCAAGAAAATTGCATTTTTACGGAAACCTAAAGAGATAGGTAACAATGGATAAATAATTTGATAGACATAAATTGTGCATCTGATTTCGTTTAACAGGGTGTTCCATTTAATTAAACAAGTTATTGCCAGTTTAAGCTAAATAATTATTTACAAATAAATTTTAAACACTCTGTATAAGGATATTATTTTTATTATTGCAACACAATAACTGATCAGTAAATAAACTTCAGTAAATATTTAGTATTAAAAACTTTGATACCCTTGGAGAAATGAAGCCTTAAAATTTTTACTGCAATTTCACAAAATTGAAAATATTTCAAAAACGGTAAGGTTTTTTAAAATTTATATTCACATTTCGATTTCTAGTAGAATAATATTGATAAGGTTGAGTTTGGGGGGAACCACGGTACAGTTTTATGATTAAACCAGCTAGAAAATTAAAAAAATATTTTGGCGAGTTACTTTTTTATAGATATTTTTATTTCATAAATCTACCTAATTTTTGAAGGCGCTCGTTGTTTTCCGGAGCATTTTAATCAGATATATAAGAAAGTGACTTCGTTGACAAAATGATGTCTGGATTAATGAATCTCAGAAATTATTATAATATGAAATTAGATGGGCACTTATAGTTATATTAATTCGAGGAGTGATTATGATCCATTTGTAATTAGGTAGTTTGGTTGGTTTTTATGTATTCTTGGTAGCGGATATGAAACCAAACGTAACGTTAGTGCTTTAGCGACGAAAATTTTAAGTGATAAATCCAACCGTAATATTGACGTTGGTAATTGTTAGAATTACATTCCCTATTAGGTCAGATACCGACGTCGAGGCGACCCGAATCTGTATTCCTCATTTAGGTGCAAATAAGGGTCGTCAGGCGGTCGAACCGACGTTGGTATCCGACGTCGGGTTTATTGAACGCGACGTATATCCGACGTTAGATAACGTCCAAATGCTACTTGGGATCACCTATCGGGCTGTTCAGTCACAGAAAGGCTCATCAAAGAAAATGCCTTGTGTGACCATCCTAGTCTGTGGCAGTATGTATGTATGTATTAAAATAACAGTCTGTTTGTCTGAAGATTTCGTTGGGGTACCTCGTGCCGAGTTTGATTCTAATCGACCCATAATTAAAAAAAAATCCTGATGATTTCGTCCATTTAAGGGCATCATCGGTTCAAAACGTCGAGGGACCCACCCTGTAACCCGTCCCTAATTGTGCCAAAATCGACGCCACATTTTTTTTTCAATATTAAATCCATAATACTCACCACACAGGTTCCTGTAGTTCCATCCAAATGTCCAGCGCACAGATGACCGTTCCTAATACTGACAGAATGGCCGTACTTTTTCTTGCATACTGCGTTATCATGGACAGGTACTTTAGCCTCCAGAAGTCTACCAGCCAAAATACCATCCTCCACGTCTCTGCCCCAGCCTGTGGCTACGCAAAAGTCAGTTTGGTTGTGGCTGAGATGCTGAGCTGGTAGACACACAGCTCTTATTTTGGTTTTGGAGGTGAATTTTATGGGTCTAGTCAGTTTCATCATTGCTGAAGAGGAAAAAACTATGTTGTATTGATATACAGGGTTGTTCACCACATACGACACGGAGTATTGTAGCTAAACGATGAGATTTTTACAAATTGTTAGTTTTGGGTTCGTTGAAGGTCTATTAGAGCTACAATTTAAAAATATTTTTACAAGATACAGAGTGTCCCAAATAAGTAAAAAATATCAAAGTTGTATTTTTTTAAAATGGAACACCCTATATATTATACATTTTTATTAAGTTTCGTACGATTAAAATAAAGGTAAAATTTGATTAAGGTTTATTTACTTAAACCTTATCGTTTTTGAAATATTTTTCAATTTTGTGAATTTGCAGTAAAAATTTAAGGCTTCATTTTCTCCAAGGGTATCAAAAGTTTTAATACTAAATATTTACTGAAGTTATTTACTGATCAGTTATTGGTGTGTGCAATATAAAAATAATACAACCTATACAGAGTGTCCCTAAAAATTTATTTTAAATAATTATTAGCGTCAAACGGCAATAACTTTTTTTTTTAGATTTTTTTTTTTTTTTTTCTGATTATTTTAGGAGAAACAGATGCACAATTAATTGTCTATCAAAATTATATCATACCATTTTTTACCTATCCTCTTTAAGTTTCCGTAGAAAATGCACTTTCTTGTAATTTAGAACTTATTAATAAATATAAAAAAAAAAAAAAAAAAAAAAAATTAGGAATTTTTTAAAGATGTACAATATTTTTAAAGAGTACAGATACTAATATTTTTTAAGTAAATTATTAAATTACATTTCAATTAAAAATTAAAAAAAAACATGTTTAATATTTGTTAAAGGGGATAAGTAATATGATTCCCGTATTCAAACTACATTAACTGACTGTTTGGCGTTGGATTAATAATAATTGCTCCAAATACTAAAAACTGAATTTTTGTATTTTTTTTTTTTTTTTTTTTTTTTTTCATAAAAAAGTAACACCGTAAAAATGATATTTCATTTTTTTAATAAATCGCTTATTTTATAACAACAGAACTTTATTTGATAACTTATTATTATATTGATTTCCTGATTCAAATCCATAATTATCTTATAATAATTTATTAAGCGAACACAATTTAAGTATGTTATTAATTGTAATGGGCGGAAATAATGGTGTTATATTTTAATTAATGGTATACTCTTTTATAAAAGATTTAAATAGTTTTTTTTTTCTTTTTTTGCATACAAATGGGCTAGTAATATATTCGTTCTGCTAAAAACGATAATTTACTAGTCTGTCATTTTTGTACATTGTTGCTTTAAAACAATCTAAAATGTCAATAGTCCATGGGTATATTCATAAAACTAAGTTTCTAAAGTATAGAAAATCGCATTTTTCTTACCGAAAACTTACAAGGAATAGGTAAAAATGGTATAATATAAATTTGATAGACAATTAATTGTGCTATCTGATTCTCCAAATATACAGGGCATTCCATTAAATTAAAGAAGTTATTGCCGTGTGAAGCTAATAATTATTTAAAACAAACTTTTAGAGCACTCTATATAAGGTAGTATTATTTATTCTTGCAACACAATTACGGATCAGTAAATAAACTTCAGTAAATATTTAGTATTCAAAACTTTGATACCCTTGGAGAAATGAAGCTTAATTTTTACTGCAATTTCCACAAAATTGAAATATTTCCAAAAACTGGTAAGGTTTAAGTATAATAAACCTTAAACAATTTCTACCTTTTAATTTTAATCGTAGAACTAAATGTAATAATATATAGGGTGTTCCATTAAAAAAATACAACTTTGATATTTTTTATTTATTTGGGACACTCTGTATCTTGTAAAAATATTTTTAAATTGTAGCTCTAATAGTCCTTCAACGAACCCCAAACTTACAATTTGTAAAAATCTCATCGTTTAGCTACAATACTCCGTGTCGTATGTGGTGAACAACCCGGTATAGTCTAAAATTTAAAAATAAATAAATTAATCAAATTTACACCCTCTACGTCATTTAGAATTCGTTTTGATCATAGCTGACTGATAAAAACCGTTCAAACCCTAATCCCGCGTCAAATGTAACAAGCTAGGATTAGGAAACAGCCCTTCAACATACTTAAAATTATTAAATCAAGCTTATCCCAGGTATGGAGCGATTTCCTACAGTTTCGGTGTGTTAGGAGGGATCAAAAGGAAAGGAAATTGAAAATTTTCTTTAAAATTTATGACGCGAAGAGGCAGTAAACTTTATATGGGCTTTTAGACGCTTGTTTTTTGTCTTAACTGTAATAGGTGGAAGGTTTAACTTGCACTGTTAACTTTTATAGTACCCAGTATAATATTAAATGGAAGCGATTGGTTTATAAGCGAATTCGATTATTTTTTTGTATTTATTACTATTTTATTGGCAATAATAGAGAGTTTCTAGAGTTTGACATCACGTTACTAATTTGATGAATAGGTAGGTACTCGGGAAATGCACCACACCGAAAAAAAGGAACTCTCAGTCGAAATGAATATGACTTTGACCCAAAAGATTGGCCAGGCGGATGAAACTGCCATTTGAATTTTGGAAACACGGCGGAGTTTCTGTCAGTAGAGGGATAGATGGCGCTGCGTAGAAATTTCATCAAAGTCCTAGAGTATGTCATCTATGGGGACTTTAATTGCATCAGTGATTTTATAAGTCATCACAAAATATAGTTTTAATTAACAATTCGTTTGATTTTCTGTGGAGTAATTGGAGTAGTGGGAGTGAAAAATATAAATAATTTATATAAATTTTTTTTTTTTTTTTTTTTTTTTTTTTTTTAATAATAATAATCATTGATATGAAGTTGCTTTCGCCAGAAACAACTTATTAATTAAATATTTAATAAAAATGTTAATTTTCCTTTAAATAAAAAAAAAAAAAAAAAAAAAGAAAAATAAATTGAAATTTAAACGGTCTTCGCCATATTTGGCAATGTCTGTCAGTTTCTGTGGAGTGGAAGTGAAATTGGTTGAATTTGGGTTTTTATGGGAATATTTTTACGGATTGTTTTGCGATTTTAGAGTATTTTGGACGATAAGATTGTGAAATTTAAAAGACAAGTAGTTTAATATATAAGATTTAATTAATCCCTGTGATAATTTTTATGAAATTTCTCTATAATCAAAACAAATTCTTTCAACAAAAATCGGCTGTCTTCATAGAATTTTGGAAGATCATTAATTTTAAAGTTTATATTAAGTGTATTATATTTTTTTTTTTTTTTTTTTTTTTTTTTTAAAAGCTTAATTTTAAAGGTTTTGCAGATAATTATATGTAAGTGATACGCTTTTTAGATAATATTAAATATACAAACTTATGCAAAAGACAAACAAGTAATTTTAAAGAAGATCATTATTTATTTAAATTTTTTTTTTTTTTTTTTTTTTTTTTTGGAAAATATATTTTTGTATTTACTTATTTTATATATTTTCTTATTTTTTTTTTTTTTTTTTTTTTTTTTTTTTTTTTTTTTATTGGAAAAAAAATGCTTCGAGTCATCGAGATTAGATTTATATAACAAATTTGTCCCTTGGCTTTGTGTATTATATAATGTGAATTGTAATATGTTTCTATTTGAATAGGTCATTAAAGTTGAAATTAAAGTTACCAAGATTTATATTCCACGGTAGCTATACTGTCTTTTATATAATGAATTTTTATTTATAATTTATAACTTTTTTATAATTACTTATAACTGATTGTATAAATTCTGATAACTTTTATATGTACTTGTATAGTGTTGAATGTGTTAAATATGTAATTTTATTAAACAATTGTTTATAATAAAATAATCAAGTTACCAAATTTTTCGTGTTTTACATTCTAATTTCAAGGATAATTTCCAACCCTAGATTATTAATTTTAATTTGTATCAACAATACATTATTTTTTTTTGTAAATGTTTTGTTACAAATAAGTTCATAATCTAGATTGAAATTACCAAAATAATAAGTAAAAAACTTATGAACTGGCAGTAAAGGTCCATTTAAAAATATGCCATTACGAACTTTTTAGTTCTGCCAGTAGCCGGCTTGGATCGCGTCGAGCGCGTGGTTCCAGGCTTAACATAAGGATTTTCTTTTTTCAGTTCGTTATTCTATGAGATTGGCGCTTTTCAATAGGGCCAACGAACAGACATTTTTTTGCCCAAAGCATTAACTATCTTTTCATAAGCTTTAAAAAAGACTTTAGAGAATAAGAGAATCTATCTGTCCAAAGTATTTCCACTCTTGACCAAAATGAATATGCAAATGCAAAGAAGTTCTTGCTCCAAGAAACAATAGTCCCTTTGATTCAATGCAAAAATTCTTGATTGAAAAACGGGACATTTCTTGATTGAAGAGACACTTTTCTTAAACAAATAGCGAATACTATTGACTCAACTAAAATTTAATTTTGATCTAAGAGAAGAAGTCTATACATCATAATACAGGCATATATACAGGTATATTTTTTCTGATAATTAGGTTTTCCTGGTTGTAAAAGTAAAAGTGATATATTTTCCTCGATAGTAGTTATTTCTGCTTCTTCACTCCTTGGTATTTATTGGGGTGGTTCATCATTAACAAATTACAAAGAAATGTTACATCAGGATTAATCAAAGTAAAGCAAATAAATTATTAAAATTATAAAAAAAAAAAAAAATTTTGGAATTGTTTTTAATTTTTAAAAAATTTGAAAATTCTAAAATTTTTTGTAATTATTTTTTTATAATTATTATAAACAGTTACCTATAAACAAGACATGTTTTCTATAGTCTGTGAAACGAATAACTTGAATTTGACAGTTCCCTCGGGCTTTTCTAGTGTTAATTTTATTAGGTTTGCAACTTGCGGCCATGCTGACGTAATGCCGTCTCTAATACAACAGCCTCGGAGCGAGATTTATGACGTCACGCTATTTAGATACTACGGATTAATAAATGTTGTAAAATACATGGAAAACATAATTATTTCCTCGTATATGTAATTTTTTGGATTATATTCGACACTATTTTTTTTTCAATATGACACAACATCGATGAAGGCTATCATAGCCATCGCTGAACGCCTTTTTTTCTATGATATTGTATTATTTACAAATATAATTTTTCGAAGATTAATGCTTGCAAAATATGCATATAAATTTTGTGAATGCAAATAATGAATGTACTAATTAGTAGATATTGAATGTTTTTTGTTAATTAGATCGATTTTTCAAACCCCAAAATTTACTACTTCATTATTTGTATTTGTAACACTTGCTGCATTTGTATGGTTTAGTTGCCAAAGTATTTTTACTATAATAGTATATTATATATATTATTATATATATATATAGTTAATATATATATATAATATATTATATATAATAAATATATATATATATATTATTATATATATATACTATATATATATATATGGTATTTATTACTGTATATTATGTATATTTCATTAATATATATTAATAATTAAAATACAAACAAAATAACGAGGAATAATTATGTTTTCCATGTTTCTACAACATATTGTATTAATCCGTGCTATCTTAACTAGCGGTAGTCATAAATCTCGCTCCGGGCTGTTCTATTAGAGACGATTGGTCTGATATTAGAAAGTTCAAAGGCTGATGACATTTTACTTTTGTAATTTAACATTTCGTGTTCATTTTTACAAGAAGAGGAAGAACTGTCTCTTGTTTTATTATTTTCCTTTTCTATTTCACGAAAGTAGAAAGAGTTACCTAACTGATTCGTTCAGGCTTTGTTCAGGCACTCAATTTAAGAATATAGTAACTTTTTGGATAGAGGGATTTTTTATTTGCCATGTTGGTAAAATAACGGTCAAAATTCAAGTTATTCATTTTATAGACTAATCTATAGTCCACCATCTTATCTAAGTGCGTGCATAGGTATGTCTTTACCTTCAAATATAGCATATAAATGCTCTAATTTCCATTTTTTCAGAAACTCCTTTAAGAATCCATATATCCTAAATTTGTTCATAAAAAATGACAAACTAGCATGTTAATAACGGATCCCTAATATATACGATATCGTTTAAAAGCAAATTATATCAAAAATTCCAAGTGGAAAATTCAAGCAACAAAACCCGTACGTACCTATGATGTACGACTGATCGGACTGCCGACTGATTGTATATACCGTCCTTCGTCATCATCTTACGTACGCACTGACATGTAATTTTTAGTCGGCCGACTATTTAGTTGCAACAGTGAAAACAATACATTCTTATGCCGCGCCCACATGCAATCAAACAGTCGGCCGACCGGCTCCGTAAGACCGTAAGCATGTATTTTTTTCACTTCTGAAAATCACGAAAAACATTAGACGATCAAATCAATATTTCCAAGGTTCCTTCGTTAAAAATTAGTGTCTTTAACACAGTCATGGCACTTTAGATAGAAATTTAAAATACGATTTTTTAGCGGGAATGTCAAAAGTTGACATATAATCTGTCATTCTATTCAGAGTGTCTTTTTCAAATAGAAAAAAAACAAAAGTTGTAGTCGTTTGTTGAAAACAATTGAATAGGTCAATCAATCCTGACTGAATCAAGGAAAAATATTATTTTTCACTGTTTATGATGCTTGGAATCTCTGGTTTGATTCGGTTTAGTTGAGACTTACCAATATCGTGCTGGAAATTGTGAAATCTCTCGTGAAGAATTATTTTCTCTACTGGTATCCTTTCTTCAGTTTTCTCCTCAACATCTCGGTCCCAGTCTCCTAGAACAGCTGTCCATAGAGCAGCCAATGGCAAATTGAACAAATCGCTGGAAAAAATTAACAGATAACATATGTTTCCTTTGTTTTTTGCGTATAACCAAGCAGAAATAAGGCTTGGATTTTATTTAATATTTTTTTATACTTACTTGTGAATACAGTGAGCAGCAGTGAGCAACCATTCCTGTGATATCATCACACCACCACACCAATGACCTAGAAATCCAAACTGTGGATGAAGAAGCTGCAAAGACACCTAAAATAAAATAATTTATTACAATAGTAATAACTATAAAAAAAAAAAATACAATTTTATACTAGCAAAGTAGTATATACTAGTAGTAATTTTATACTAGTAGTATTAGTATTACTAATAGTAGCAATAGCTACTATTAGTAATACTAATACTACTTATAGCTTCTAAACGAGCTACTATACGAAGGATAAAAAAAATATTTCATAAAATAACATTTATTAACATATCGAATTGATTAGCAAACTGAGACTTTTCTGTAATATCTGTTGTATCGTCTTCTTGCACCGAATAACGCGCTCTTTTATTTCGGATTCTTTTATTTCTGTGGCATGTTCTGAAATACAACCGGTTATATCATTTTGAATAACGTTTCCAATTTGTTTTAAACGTTTTTTGAATTTTCATATAAATGTTTTAAATGGTATGTATAATGAATCAAATGAAATATATTATAAAATATCGGGAATATCTTCTTAACTTCTAAGCCTACCGAGCCTCCACGACTTCATGCGAAGGCGACCGGAGATTTCGCCTCAGCTCCGCCTTAATACGATACAACTCCGACTTACGTCGCGTCGCTACCGCACGATGAGTTAGACAGAGACAGAAGACTGCCGTACGTCGTGCATCGACTCTGATAGTAGGCGATGTAGAAATCGCCGAACTATGGCGTTTGTTCCAACGGTCAAAATTATTTTATTAGTTTTCTAACGCACCGTACGCCAGCGATAGTGAATATTTTAATATACAAGACCACAAATATTAAAATAATATTGATTATTAAATCATACTTCCGTGTATTAACAGTATTTTTAAACGGTTTTATTTAGCTCGACCCGTACGGTATTTATTTATTTGTTTGTTTATTTGGGTCAAAATTAGAAATTGAAATTTAAGTACCTTCCTGTTGTCAGATTGATCTGAAATTTGATACACACCTTTAGTTCCGATGACAATACAATATAGTAATATCAATAACATTGTAAATCTAAGATGGCCGCCGGTACAAAATGGCGGATTTCATATTTTTCCACAACCCCCTCAATATGGGTATCAAATGAAAGGGCTACACTAGTAGAATACTGTGATTATGACAAAATTTAAAATCCAAGATGGACGTCGTTACAAAATGGCGTATTAGGTGAGGGGCATAAGTAGTCGTGTCCAGAACAGTTGTGTCCAAGATTGTGTGACGTTAGAAGGACAGATAAAAAAATAGGTGATTAGATGTACCTACGTAGTTAGCGGTAGCTTTACCACCCAAGTTAAGGTAATAGGTTAAAACGTGCTGAGGACTGTATGGCATTAGGGGTGGCTAAAAATGTAATGTCGCAAGCGTTTTCCCTCAAGATTGGGCGTCTCTTGTTGTATATTATAGCCTTGCCCCTCTACTGGACCTCTGGGGGTCGACCGTTAAAATGTCCATTACTCGTGGGAACAACATGGAAACAATAAATAAAAAACAAACAAAAATAAAACGAAACTGCTACACAACGAAAAAGAAGGCTCGAAAAGGCGAAAGAAAAGTATAGAACGAAACGTGCAAAAGAAAGTGAAAATGAAACCTATAGTCGACTACAGAAACGAAGAGAACGGTTAGCAACAGAAACACCTGAGCAACATGATGCCAGGTTAGTAGCACAACGCGAGAGACAAAGGCAGCTGGTAGAGTCAGAAACACCTGAGCGTCATGAGTCCAGGCTAGCATCACAACGTGACAGACAGAGAGAGTTGTTAGCGGCAGAAACACCTGAGCGTCATGAGTCTAGGCTGGCATCACAACGAGAGAGACAAAGAGAGTTGTTAGCGTCAGAAACACCTGAGCGTCATGAGTCTAGGCTAGCATCAGAACGGGACAGACAGAGAGAGTTGTTAGCGTCAGAAACAACTGAGCGTCAGATTGCAATAAATTATCAGGTAAAAAACCACGTAATAATGATGCACTAAATGAATTAAATAGAATGAGGAATATTCGGTAGGCATTTCCGTTAAATACTAAAAACTAGAAAATAAAAAAAATCGGTAAAAAACTTTTTAAGTTAAACGGTTTTTATCTTATGCGCACTAAAAACTAGAAAATAATAATAACAATTAGGTATTTTGAACTTCTAGTTCAGAAATATTTTAGTACTAGGCAGAATAGCTTTTAGGCATATTAGACTAAAATAAAAACGTGGGGCCCATTAACTATTGCTGTAATACTTTCTTCTATACTAAGTGTGGATTGCACCGACTTACTATAATCGTAACTGGAGATTTTGACAATCAATAACCAGCCGTGGCGGCTTGACCAGCGAACGCCGATCTCATGATCTACCAAAGTATAAAGATATGCTTTGCCATAGGTAGGATTTCAGAAGGGCCCCACGTTTTTATTTTAGCTATTCTGCCTAGTACTAAAACATTTCTGAACTAGAAGTTCGAAATACCTAATTGTTATTATTATTTTCTAGTTTTCAGTGCACATAAGATAAAACCGTTTAACTTAAAAGTTTTTTTTACCGATTTTTTATTATGTGTTGGCAACATTAATAGTACATAATGTAATGTAATAAACCGCTTAAATTCTGCCAAAATTTTAGGGTAGGCGCCGCCTACCTTGCCTTATACCCTGACGAGCCGCCGCTGGTATTCTAAATTCTAATTACTTAGTAGGCGCGATGAAATCGAATGTAAAGCAAAGAGTTGGAATTCTCGTATCAATTATTTTATTAAATATCACGCAAATCGGCAACTTTCTTTTATTATTGCTCTTGTTATTATGTCTACAATGACTTACCGAAAGTAAAATATACATAGGATAATAACTTTCCTCGTTGGTATGCCAAGAGGAGACCGTAAATGGTAAAAACGGATAAAGTTTGTTGAGCTTGTTGCAGCTAAGCGCTGTAAATTACGAAACACGATAGAATTCACTTGAAATTCACGTTTCGGCCGGTGGTTTATGACTTTATGACCAAAACCGGTAGTGCGGGACTATTTCAATACATTTTCACTTACATCTATGTAAATTAACATCGCCCAAATATGGAGCTTTCAATTTTGAGCTGTTAAAGTCCATTAAATCACCCCGGTGACGTTTTAAACATGTAAAGGATAGTTATTTTTTATTCACGAACGATGAAATCGCGAGTGAATTAATTTCGGGCGACGATAATGCAATTTTATCGTCGTGTATAAAACAATATAAAAGTCTGTCCAACGAGAAGATCCTTGACAGTGATAGATGTGTCTGTCATTTTAATTTCAAAGTCGTTTATTTTATTTTACAAAGAAATAAGTTGGTACAACTGGAACGCATAGCAGGATATATTTAAAATTTGATTGACAAGATGACAAGTGATTACTTCAAAATTGTATAAAACTGAAAAAATGTAATCGAGTTATTTTATTTAATAAAAACGGTATGTGTTAATACAAAACAAACAAGAACAAGGCACTACATACCAAAAAAATATAAAAAATAACTATTATTTACTTTCAAGCTTTATGAAACTACCCGCATTTATGATTATATTTATCAATATAACTTATGTACAAATACAAATTTGTAATATTCCACAGGTATAAATAAAACAACATAGGTAAATACAACAACTATTTTATTAATAATAACACCTACCAAATTTTATACCTTAAAGGTGGATTAATTACCTTTAATCTTAATTTTTTTAAACCAGTACCTTTTGACATTATTTTTCTGCACCAGTACTAAAATCCATTATTTACCTATCGTGTGATGTCGATATTTTACAGCTACTCCAGTTTTTAGTATGTGTTTAGTTTGATCCTTATATACGAAATGCACTTATCTACGACGAAATGGTATACAAACTTTATCGATGGCAACTTCATTGGTGTATAAGACTTTCTGCCTGGGCAGCGTGTATTAACCATAAACTGTGCTCTGGGCCTACAGTTAATTTTCACTCGATTTTTCCTCCACTTGACTTCAAAAGACACAAAACACACGTAATAATACGAATCAAAATGCATCATCTTTCAAAATGCAGGGTATTTAACAAAAGTTGACACAAAATTATAACCAATAATTTGGCAAGACTTTGACAAGCGTCAAAAATGACAAAAATCTAAAGGCGAGTTCATACGCATCGGCGTCCGTTTGTCGTTCATCGTTCCGTCAAACCAATAAAATTGAAATACGATCTGTCATTGTTTAAATAAACCAATAAAACTGGTTAAAAACAACAAGACACGACGTATGACGGATTTATATTTAAACCCATCCATAGTTAACTTAAAAATTATTAGAAACTTTTTTTAGTAAAATAAATAGATTGGTATGGGACGTCATCTGCTTTTCTTCTGTCATCGTCTGTCAAAATCTTACCTGAGAAAAAAAACAGAGTATATTTTTTTTCCATAGCGAGTTACGTTTTAGGTTAGGTTCTTCTTCTTCTTATCACGCCCTCTCCTGCCGAAGGTTGGCGGTCCAAATGGCAATTGTGGCTCTGGAAACTGCAGCCCGGAAGATTTCCGCAGTTCAAACCAACTCCTCAAATCTTTTAGCCATGAGTTCTGGCGTCTTCCTACTGATCTTTTCCCTTGCACTTTGCCCTCTATTATGAGGCGCAGTATTTCGTATCTACCACCTCTCATCACATGACCCAGGTATTGCATTTTTCTTTCCTTGATGGTGTTCAGTATCTCTTTTTGTTTCTGCATGCGCTGGAGTACATTTTTGTTTGTTGTATTCATTGTTGGTGATCCTTTGTACCCATGAGATTCGCAGCATCCGTCTGTATATATACATTTCGAAGGCTTCTATTCTCTTCTCGGTCTGTGAATCCAGTGTCCAGCTCTCACATCCATAGAGTAACGCAGAGAAGACGTAGCATCTGGCCATTCGAGTTCTGAGATCCGCACTGAGGTCTCTTCTTGTAAAAAATGATTTCATTCTTACGAAGATTTTTCTCGCTTGCTCAATTCTTGAAAATATTTCTCTTTTCGGGTCGCACTGACTATTGATGTTAGCTCCT